CCCCCCTTTGGTGTGGATTCACATGAATAAATGCGCCAGGACAGGAGGACGACTGTTCAAAACGAGAGTGATGTGAAACTGAACAATACACCTCCCGCAAAAACCATCACATTCATTCTGATACCTCATCAATGTCATCCACTAAGATCGTACTCTTTGGACGTCGTATCTCCGAGTGCAGCCGCACATTTATGGGCATTCTCATAAAGTGCTGATAGTTATGGTGTCCCAAGTCCAGTGAATTTAAAACGTACGTGTAATTTAAACAACCACTGTGAAATACATGTGTGGAGTGCGGTGTCTCATCAGCCAGAATAATCTCGACCATACTGGTGCACTTCTGGGTATGTGTGAGCGATACCACTCAGTTCTAAAGGATAGTCGACTCGTCAATCAGCAACTGCACCATAGACCTTACAGTCTTAGTTGCGCCATTGCACTAATTTAGCGGCATTGCCAATCAGACCGTCGGCTTTTGAACAGGTCCTCACTAGTACAACCCCATGTTGGCAGCCAAAGCTGTGGTTTTTAGTGTGGAATCGGATGTACACAAAAGATACTTGTCAACCCGATCGACTAGTCTGATGCTCTCTTGGGGGAGGGGCAGTCCATTTTTCCTAATAGGAATACATTGGGAAGCAAGCTATCTTACCTCCCATATATAACCACACTCCCATTTGGTCGGTATTGCTTATGCTGTTTCTGTGTTATCCACTGAACGAGAAGTGACCACTTTCAGACGGTATTAGCCGTACGTATTGTAACAGGGTATATGGTGAGGCTAATAAGACAACCGTCGGGCTATAGGTATGCTGGCGTGACCCTTGTGCTTGTATTGTATGTCGGCCCGGTCATAGTATCAACCCCGTGTCCTCGTTCACAAGTGTGTCATATTCGGAAACCCGTCGGATTGTGTAAGCCCACAAGAGTAGCCTTTCGTTCTGCTTATCGGTAAGGCTGAAGCTCGCGATATGTTTCAGGCGAACAAACTGGAAGGAAACTACGAAGGTCTTTGAACGGCATTTCTTGATATGTACACTTCGGGGGTTAAATGCAGTACCATTTCAACTACTTTAACGACTACTTAATACGGAGTCTTCTTGTGGGTGCCACTGAGAAAAACTGACCCCCTCAAATTAAGCGATACTAAGTCGATTTACCATGTAAGACTTTGTGCAAAGTTGGTTTCCGGATAGCACAGTACGCTTTCAAACAGGGAGCTATTAATCACGCTGTTGTGCTGCGGCCTCATTTCACAGATGACGTCGCAAGGAGCATAGAATGGTTCGTTTCGGTGTATAACGGGACTGAGTTGCCACCCGATTATTATAGGGATATCTTAGATCCGTTTCACACTTTAACTGGCTTGGTTTACGTTCCCCGCGCATCTTTTGGGGTGATTAATTCTATTGTCGACATGAATCTTTGATGCTAATGACCCGAATTTTCACATATCTACGTGAACTGCACCCCTACATTTTGCAACATCTATCAAGAAACAGTATTATAGCACTCGAAATCCCGTGGTGAAGGTCGAACACGAAGACTCTGAAAATTACTAGCGGCAAATCTACACTGCACGTTTGGGGCAAATAATAGAATCCACCGGACTAGAAACTTCTAAACCCCTTACTGTTCATCTGTGTGGCCAGGTAGATGTTTCTAAAGGCTCAAGGTGAGGGTCACCACGATAACGACCACTGAACAAGGGGCACGGCATTGACTTCCAGAAGGATGGTCGACTATCTTTCTTGTAGGTAGGCGTGTCGAGACCGCCAGTGGGGTGTTCGAGGATTCAAGCGCAGCTTCTACCTGTTTTCGCACGGTTGGGTCTTTGAGGATGTTCTATTCTCAGGATCGTACGATCTGAACGGTGCTTTTCTCTGCCGTGCAGCTTAGGGGCACTCGCAATAATGATCTACACCTTCAGTGCACTGGAACGAAAGCGATACTGTCGCCGTGGAGGGGCCGATGGGGAAACAACGCAGCACTTCTTCGACCATTCTATGGATTGAACTTGACGATCTTTGTAACGTGTAAAGTACAAAAATGCCAAACTACGGTAGTTCTTCAGCATACTCTGACTCCTATGGGTTCCACTTTAAATAAATGATCTTTCTTAACTGTTTATCTGTTCAAGTAGTTCACCATTTTGGTAAACAGATGCGTAAAAGAGTACTTTTGGACACAAACCCAGTGAGAGTGCAGATTTTCAGACCTAGTCACAGGGTTTCCGTAGACTTCATCCTCTGTCGGGGCTGGCCGCGTATGTTCAGTGACTGTGGATAGTCGAAATTTTCTAAAGACTGATGTTTATTGGATTTAAATGGCATCTCAACCCTGTTTGAGCCATGAGCTGCATCACTTAAGGTCGGATTGAAACCTTGGACCGGTGTGTCATCAGAAAATAACTCTGACCATAAATCGACGCACTCCTGTGCGTTGAAGATCTACGGCCTCGGGTCCAAGGGGCGGAGACCTTCACATTAACTAGTGCTCTGTGGACCGAATGACTCCCTTTCGTCGATGCAACGGTACTATTAGCGTTCCATCAAAAGGTTCTTGAATAGCTTCCATTTATTGTCGCTCTGTTTAATAGGTCAGAGCTGTATTCCTAAAAATGGGAGCGTATTTGCATGAAAAGTATTTTTCAACCTGTGTGGCTAAGTTGCCCTGTTCTTGGAGGCTTCTGGTGGTGCAAATAATTAAGACCGAACTATTTCTCCCTCTTCCTTTATAAACATGATTGGCCGGAGCAATACATCGTTAGTTTTGTTCTTCTAGATTTCAGATATCAGATGTAATTTTGAAAAATTTG